AAAGACTGCAATGGGGCTGGAGAAATGGCTCAGAGTGTGTACTGCTTTTGTAGAGGACTCAGCTCACAACCACCTGTAATTTCCAACTCCAGGGGATCTGGTGCCCCTTTCTGCAGGCACCTGTACTCAAATGCACAAACACTCCCTCATGTATACACATAGTTAAAAATAAGACCTTAAAAAATGCAATCCATTCTGACTAACTACAGCTTAGTAGGCACTACAACAGACCCTCTAAATTTATTCTACTGATGTAACTGAAAATGCGTACTCTTGACCATCTCTTCAAACGCATTCAGCTTGCCACTAGCACATCCACATGCTATTTGTCTTCCTGGACCTCGCATAACATCCTCTGGGTTCATCCACACTATCTCAGTTAACAGATTTTTTTTTTTTCATTTTGAGGCTGAATAATATTTCATTGTGTGAATACGCCATGTTTTTTTTTTTTTTTATTTCATCCATTGACAAATACGTCATCTAATCTTATAAACTGGCTGTTGTGAACAATGCTGCCTGAACGCGTGGGTGCAGCTACCTCTGTGACCCACTCAATTCCCTCTGGCTGTAAAACCGATAGTGGGGGCTGTTGCATCACCCCGTGGTTTCATTTTTAATTCCTTCTCAATGCCTTTTGACGTGCCAGCCTTTAGGCTGCTTAGCCACTGCCCTTCACTCGGGGTAAAAGCCAGGTATGGATCCAAAGCTCAGGGAAGGTGGGATGAGCTGGGATGGAGGGACCAATTGCTGGAGATGCCGGTCTGCAGGCAGCCTTTGTAGTTTCACTTGCCCTGCATAGTGTTTGCCCCTGTGCATCCTCTCTTCCCACTTCTCTTAGGCACAAGCTGGGCTGACCATAGCATCACTGCCTGCAGCCCAGTGTTGGCCAAACTCCAATAATATACGTGCCAATGCTTTGAATCATGCTAAAACATGGATGTGGATGGGTCCATGTATCGTGGAGGGGCCTGAGATACTGTGTACTTTACCCCCTCCCCCGACTTCCCAGAGTGGGAAGCCCGGAGGACGTGTGCACAAAGCCTTGGACTCATTTCCTGTTGGACGATGATGACTTGAGCAGGTCCCCCATTGGCCAGGCTGCACAGGGGAATGTTTCCTTATTTTATGGCCCAGGCCCATTATTTACAAATGCTATGTATTTTGTTGTTCTTTCTCAAAGATGAGGTCTGGCTACACTCTGTCAAGTTCATGTCTGGGCTTCCTGCAGCAGCACAAACTTTTCTCCTGGTCGTGCTAACACGGTTGGTGGTGAAACCCCAGGAAGAAACCTGTTGGAGGAAAGAGATTCATCTTGTTGGAGGAGCTGGGCTACTTACAAGGCAGATAACGTTCTGCAGCTTGCTGAATTGATGGAGAGAAGCACCGGGACTCAGACTCACCTATTTTTCATTCTTTGAATGAAGTCTATCTTCTGAATTACATGAGCCGTGTGAAGCAGGGGAAGAGAGCAATGGTTCTGGAAACAAAAACAGAGTTCTTATCTTTTAATACGGGAGAGAATGCCTCAGGATATTATTATTTGTGATTTATGGGGTGCGTAGCGATATGACCAGCGTCTCACCAGAGCCGACAGAGGACTCTGACCCTCTGCCTTTGATGAACTCTTGTAGTTTCCCAGGGGCAATTTTCTACTGCAGGAGAGCCACTGCATCACAAAATTCTGACTTAAAAAATCATACTGAATGAGCTGCTAGTAAACTCGGCTTCTATCCTGATCACAGATTTACTCTCTGACCATGCCCAATTCCTAAACCTGCTCACCACCAGCGGCTTAGGATAATCTTAGTGCCTCTCAAGGTTTATTTATCCATGAAATATCTTTGAGTTAGTCTTAATTTTGAGTAGGGCTGAGGACATGACTTGATTGGGCATGGTAGCATATGCCTTTAATCCCAGCACTTGGGAAACAGAGACAGGTGGATCTTTGAGTCTAAGGTCAACCTGGTCTGCAGAGAGAGGTCCAGGACAGCCAGGGCTACACAGAAAAAACCCATCTTGAAAAACAAAAACAAAAACAAAACCCACACAAAATAGTGCTTGCCACACCATGAGGTTCGCATCCTCTGTATCCACTTCAGAACGACTGGTTGCAGCAGTGAGATGAGCACCCACCATCCTGAGGAGGTGGCGACAGGTGCGTTCCTGGGCTCACTGGCCAGTCAGTCTAGCTGAATTGGTGAATCCATGAATGTCCTGGTGAGAGACCCTGTCTCAATAAACACAGTGGAGAAAGATTGAGCAACAGAACCTGATGTTAACCTCTAGCTTCCACATATTCATAGACACACACGCACCCCCAACATGCACACACACACACACACACACACACACACACACACACACACACACACGCACGCACTCTCACACACACACACACATGCACGCACGCACCCATGCACGCACACACACACGCACACGCACATGCACACGCGCAACCCCCATGAATACAGATACATACACCATACACAAAATATTGTTCAGGACTCACTCAACTCTTTGAATATATGTCAGGTTTTATTAACAAGATCAAACTATGCAAATACATGAAACCAGCTCAACAAAATAGAGGACTGCTTCCTTTCGAGACAGTGAAAGAGGAGGTGATCTCCGTACTCTGCTGCCTTCCTGTTCCCTGATTTCCCAGAACTTTATCTTGGGATAATGTCAGGCTTACAAATTGCAAGAACAGGCCAAACAATTCTGGCACAATTTCCACCCTAAATTTAATCCCATTTGCTTCCTCTTTCTCTTTGTGTGTGCATCTATATTTAAATGTTGTTTTCTGACCTGATTAAGAAACATACATATCCCTTTATGCATAAATACTCTAAGTGTTCTAAGCATTAAGTTATTTTCTAACATAACCACAGTGTAATATTAAAATTAGCAAATTAAATGAATGATACCATTAGATCTAAAGACACATCAAAAATTGTCAATTATCTTAATGTCCTGCAACCACAATAAAATAAAATTTTCTTTGGCTTAAGATCCAGGCATTATATATAGATGTCCTGTTTCTTTTCCTTTTCTTTTTTTTTCTTTTTGCTTCCTTAACCCCAATCATCAACCCAGTTGTTCTCTGTTTCACAGAGAGGGTAAATTCTTGACCTTAAGAGATTTCACGGAGGCTGAACAGACAAATGTTATTTTAACAAGCATCTGTAAAAGTCAGCGAGGGAGGCCCAAGGTTGAATTCTGAGAATACTAAAGTTATAAAAATAAGGCAGTTATTATGAAAGTTATAAAAACAATACAGTTATTATAAAAAAACACAGAAATGACTCAAGCAAAAATAAAAGTCCTCTGCTAGTCCTTGTTTTCACCTGAATAAAGAGTTAAAGTTTTTGCTGTTTCGCTTCAGGTATTTTTCTATGCTCATAAAAAATATGAATTTACAGTGTGTGCTTTTTAAAAAGAAAATGAGGCCATACTATAAATTTTATCCCATACTTTTCTTTTTAAAAATATGCTAGTATGTTATACAGCCTTGTGAGAATGGACTTTCGCCATCCATGTTGAGGAATCCCAGTCTGAGTCCGTCTCTTCTGCCTTGCCCTTGGTGGTAACTCTGGTTTATTGAGAGCACTTGGGAAGAGCCTTGTTTATAGCGAGGTGTTCAAGCACTGAGGAGAGTTTGGGATGCAAAGCCTTTCTGGGATTTTGACTCTTTCTGCCTTCTCTTTAATGGTACACAGTTTATGTCCTTTCTTGGAAAACCTCCCATGGGTTTGAGAAACCTTGATGACACTTGGGTCATATATCCTGACACCAACCCATTTCCCAGGTTGAAAACAGAAGAATGAAAAAAAAATGCTCAGATAACACTTTCACTCACTAAAGTCTGTCTCTTGACAGTCCTGGACACACACACACACACACACACACACACACACACACACACACACACATACACACACACACACACTCACACACACAAATGCACTCACGCACACACACATGCACGCTCACACACAGACTTTGTATAAAGTTTCTATGATCACGTCCCTCAACCCTGGATGTTGATTTCTAGCTATTTGGATAGTCTTTGATCTGTATCCCAGATTAGCAGCGCAGCTGTTCTCCAGGCTTAGACATACTTGATGGATCTGGTGGACTTTACCGGGGTCTTGCAACTGTTGGCTGAGCCTCTTTAAAGAAGCCGGTCTTAAGGACTGCTGTGGGCTGCTTTTCCTTTGGTCCCCATCTTCCTTCTTCTGGGCCTTTCTGACCTTCAGCTTTATTTGTTCTTTGCTCACCCTGACCTCATGGTGCTTTTAAACCCAGAGGCCACGAGGCTGTGAAGAATCCAAGTTATATGTGCATTTGATGGCCATATTAGTGGCTTTCCCATTTTGCTTCTCCTCGACAGCCTTTGGCCTTGAAAGCTCTTTGGAGCAGGGTCTGTTTTCCTCTAACTGCCTTCTTGCACTTGTTGGGCAAAATCGGAGCAGTGATTGAGTCCTCAGCACCCTTATGGCACTGCAGAGTAATAACATTTATCACACTTCTTGTTTAAGCCCTTTAGAGAATGACATTTCACAGTGTAATTTTGCGCCGCTGATTTGTCCCTCGTGAGTTTTAACTTTCAGGGTAGAAATCCCTCCTACGGCTTCACCTTTTTCCTATTTTGTGTATCTATGAGAAGTCGTACAAGTCAGGCATAACAAATGGAATCAGGTCATGCTCCCAAGTGCCCTTCACCTCGAGATTCCTGATTGTTTTTTCCTTATGAGTCCTGAGCAGGCCCAAATTACCTCACCTCTAGCTGCCCTTTCCACTTTATGAAACAAGGCACTAAGAGCAACGCTGCTCTAAAAATCCCCGGATGACCTGCAGTTTGCTCCTTTTGATTATCCCTTAAACAATGTCCCAGTAATTGAAATCTCAAGTAGCAGAGTTTTGTGATCTTGTCACTTAGCATTTAGTTATGTTTGGTTTGTTTATATGTTTATTTATTTATATTTAAACCCCAGAGAGGTCGGAGTCTGCCTCTGGGACCCGAGGGACCAAAGCCAAGAATATCGGTCATTCACTCAACATCAAGAAGTTAAGCAGGGGTCCTTGCGACCACACTTACTTGAGAGTCAGAAGGAGGAAAAGATGGAGAGGAACTCCAGGATCCTCAGGCCATTTCAGCGGGAGCAGCAGGGGGAGGTGAGACACGGCATTGAGATTTATACTGCATGATCCATTTTATTTATTTATGGGGACATGGTATCTGTTTTTTTCCCCCTGTACGGTAATTTATCAGTGAGTTCATCCTGATTTAGTAGTGCACGGAGGACACCTGCTGCTAATTCCCCTTTATTTCATATATTTCTTCTACCTTAGCTCATAAAGCGTCAACACTGCCACTTCCTTTATCATCCATCTGTATTTCCTTTCGAGTCCCGCTCTCCTTGATCTATAGCGCAAGCCCTCCTTTCCCACCCTTTGTCCTTTCTTCGCAGATTGCATTCCTCAGTATTGACGTTTCACTCACTTGATTTATCCCAACAGCTTCCCTGATGCCAACCAGCTCATAATTCCCTCCCTGGTAGCATCACTTCAAGGCCTTCCTGCTTATTTCCCTTGGCTCCTCGGATTTGTGGATTGACGCCTAAGAGATTTACTGGTGATTTGTCCTCTCTTCTCATTCTCTGTTTGCTTAGATCCAAACCACAGGTGCTAAGTGGCGAGGCCCCCAAGGGTATCTGGAATTCTGTGAGTTTTAAGATTTTTTTTCTTGCTGGGAAGTGCTGGAAGGTCCCATCCTGGCAGAAGGGCCATCCTGGATTTGCTTCAAGGTGAAGGCTGGTCCTTCTGCATTCTGTTAAACCTGGTTAGTTTGGTGCTCCTTACCCGAATCCCATGGAGCTCTTGGAAGGGGAGAGCTGGATAATGGGTTTCAAGGGGAATTATCTTTGAAAAGGAGGGACTTACCTATATGAAATGCATATGAAATTTGCTTCTTTCTCATTTCAGAACTATATTTGTGTGGTCTGACCACAGATAGATGTGGTGTGGAGGGACCCAGGAGAAAGGAGAGATTTTTTTTCTCTTCCCGAATTCTCATGATAATGACATTAAACTATTGACTGGTACATTGTCACAGACTTCCAGCTGCCCTGACTTCGTGAGCTTTCTTGAACAGTTCTTGCTTTAAGTAAACTTGCTTTAGGTAAACTTGCTTTAGGATTCTACCCATCACTTAAAATTACAGAGGGCACTCATCATTCTCCATTCTGTAGCTGTGCTCCATAAGACATGTGGGGCTGGAGTCTCTCAGTTCTGTGTTAGCTGTGGGCTATGATATTGATCCCAGCTATCTCCTCATAATGGATAAAAGATTTTCTGACTGTGAGTGGTATGGTTTGGATTTGAAGTGTCCCTCAAAGGGCTTATGTGTTGAAAACTTGGTCCTCATCTAGTGATTCCATTGTTGGGTGGGGATTGGCTCAAAAAGGCTGTGACTACTCAGTGGACTAATTCATTGATGAATTCATAGCTGAATGGGTTGTTAGGAGGTGGGGCCTAGTTGAAAGAGGGTCCCTTCTGTCCATTTCCGTTTCCTGGCCACTGTGAGGTGAGCAGCTGTGTTCTACTATCCATTCTCGGCCATGATGCTCTGCTTTACCACTGGCCTACAGTGACCACAGGGCTAAATGACTATGGATTGAAATCTCTAGTTATGGTTGGTTTTAATGTCTACTTGCCACAAATTAAAATCACCTGAGTCGCAGGCCTCCACAGAAAGACTGTCGTGGTTGTCTAGCTGACGTGGAAAGATCCACCCTGATTGTGGGCGGCACCTTCTCCTCACAGCCCAGACAGAAAAGAGTATGGCCGAAGGAAGGCTCTTCCTTGCCTTTTGCTTGCTTGGCCTTCCCTCCGGCCGCCTGGTTGGTTTACTCTGCTACTGCTGAGAATTTCTTCGCTGATATCAGGACCAGTGCCTCTAGGCTTCTGTTGTGGACTAAGGACCAGCAGCTCTGCAGGAACTCTCCAGGCTTTTCAGCTCCAGATTGGGATTGAGAAACTACTAGGATGTGGGTCTCCCCATTGTGAGCCAGCACTGTGGGACTACTCTGACTGATGAGTACTTATTCAATCCACTAGTGGGTTCTCAGTCTCTCAGGTGTGAGGAAGCTGTTGGATATTTTCATGTGAATTGACATAATGCATTCTTTCATTCATCCCACTGGGTCTGTTCTTCTAGAGAGCCCTGACTAACACAGCCCTGAAGAAACGTGAGCTTAAACACAGCTTCCTTGTAGTTGGTTTGGTCAGGTATTAATCACAGTGACAACATCGGACAGGCACACTGAGTGAGGAACACTGGTCAACAAGCCATTTCCTGGCTCCATATTATTGAGGAAATAACTGATGGAGGAGACACTGCAGTACCTGTCCCTCACTTGAGTCTGCCCATCTGTGGAATAAAAGAGACCAGTTGACCTCTACATCCTGAAAGCAAATTTAAATAGGCTCCCGTTGTTGCTGGAGGAATTTGGGAAGCTGTAAGGAAGAGTTTCCTGGCTCTGAGAAAGTCACGTAGCTCTCACTGTGTATCATCACATTCTCAACGGCACTTTAAAAGTGGTCTTTCCTTGCAGGGAAGACCACAATAGGTAATTTCAGCTTGTGTTTTCTAATAGCAATACATGGATTTCTGCCCTCAAAGTGTTCCTGGGAGCCCATGAAATGAGGACAGGCTTATTGGTAGGACGCCTGAGTACAGAAAAACAAAACAGTGACCACAGATGGCAAGATGAAAAGAAGCCAGACAGCAAAATCAATCTTTAGTATAAGAGACAATAGAAAGTCAAATTATTTTCCTTAAACTCTACTTTTGGAAAAGAACAAAAATTATAAGAAAGAGAGATAGTGTCTCTCCTAGAATGTACAAAAGGGAAAATAGTATTGCCAATAACATTCCAGTAATTAGCAGTTGAAATCAGAAGTATGACTCTTGTGTCTGGAGCAGAACACACTATGCGCATGCACCTATCACAACTACCAAGAGAGTTCCAAGAAGCTGCGTTTGTCACGGCACTCCAACACTTAGAATGAGTTTTACAAATTCAACCAAACCTCACCAGTAGAATTTCTGGAGTTGTGTAAAGAATTTAATTATCCTACTGTAGAAGGATATACTCTCTGTATTTAGAAATGTGCTTCAGGTATTGACTAAAATGCGTGGACTGAGAGTTTAGCAAGAATTGATGACAGGATCTGAAACAGAGCAGACTCCTAAGTGTTGGGCTATGACTTCTCCTTCAACTGGCTTCTTGAAGATTTCCCTTATAAAGTCAGTGAGAGGTACTGATTTACCATTTATAAGGGGCATAATTTATCTGCATTGATTAGAATGATCAAGTGAGCAATGACAGCTCTTTCTATTCCAGGTAAATGCCTCCTTTGTGCTGTGCAGACACGAGTTTCTGACATGTCACAGGAAACGCTGAAGAAGTCACTCTTCGGGGTGTGTTTTCCTCCAGGAGGCGGTGTGAGATGGATTAATGGCAAATCACAATAAATTATTTATCAGATAATAAGTGTGATAATTGTCCTTATTTATCACTGGTATAACTTGCCTTGTTTCCCTGTCATGTGTTCCATCAAAGCCTCCCCACAGATTTGCTGGTTAAAATAGATAGCCAAAAGGTCATCCCAACAATTTTTACTCATAATGACACACTGATTATCTCCTAATTGAGAAATGTAAACCAGAGGCTCTGGAAGTGATGTGAGTGACCCTTGGATTGCTAACATAGTGGAGAGAGTCACTCTGAACCCAGCACAACCTGCAGTCATTTTGATGTGCTTCTAAAGTAATTGGAAATAACTTTTTTTTTGTTTTTTTGAGGAGGGGAAAACCAAAACCAAAACCAAGAATAACCCACATGCCCAAATTTGCTGCAAAAGGAAAAAGTAGAGCTGTAACGTACCTTTCACTCTCTGCTGTCCTTCCGGCAGCTAATCCATTGACGCTTAATTGTAATTATCCACCAGGTCCGGGCCTGCAGAGGAATACTGATTACTGCTACGTGCTTTTTCATGGGCAAGGCTGTGTATTGAGCCTGTTGCAAAGTTTCAAGTAGATTTACCTCTATTGGCAGCTGTAATGGATCATTGGTCATGGGCTATTTCTGGATTTGGTGTAATGAGAGAAAATAATCCCAGCTTCCTTGTACAGAATTCTTTAAAGATCGTCAACACAGATGAAAATATTACAAAAGTAGATAAATTTATGTACCTATGCTTTGGGGTCAGATCCATGGTCTCAACAGACTTGAATTATTTTCTTAGGGTTTACATCTCCATCCAGAAGTCCATACTCAGCTGCACAGATGCGTGTCTCCCAAATGTCCTTACTGGGAATGATGCTTCAGTTCGGATATTCCCCTAAAGGCCTATGTATCAAAGGCTGGGTCCTCAGGGTGGTGCTATGGGGAGATGGTGGCACCTTTGAAAGGTGTAACCCAGAGGGAGGATGTTAGGTCATTGGGTAGTGTGCCTTTGAGGGGACCATAGGACTGTAATTTCAGTCGTCCTCTCTTTCCTCTCCAACTACGAAGTAAGCGATTTTACTCAGCCACATGCTACCACGTGGTGTAATTTCTGCCTTCCTATAGGTTCAAAGCAACCAAGCCAATCAATCATGGACTGGAGCCTCCAAAATGGTAGCCCCACTATAAATTAATTATCTCAGGTATTTTTTTTTAAGTGATGGAAAACTAACCAACACAATTGTTTTCCAGGCGAAAAGAACTCCACATGTTACTCTTTCCTCTCCCGCCTCTTCTCCTGCCCACGTCCCTGAGTTCATAGCTCAGCCCTAACTCTCTCCTATTGTTCAACTACTTACATATGTCTACTTATTTCACAGCCTCTTTGGATCATGCTGCTCTCATGAGACCCGTGGACAAATTCCTCTAACATGGCTTAAAACAATAAGCACCTACTACCTTACTTTGTTTTTGTGAGTCAGGAATTTTGGAGCCTTTATGGGTGGCCCTGGCTCAGGGTCTGGGGTTACAGTCACGATGTTGGCTGAGCGGTAGTCATCTGAAGACTTGACAACGATTCCAGGAAGGCTCACTGGAGCATCTGTAGGTACCGCATTCATTACCGCATGCATCCCTCCACCGGCTGCTGAGTGGTCTCCCAACACGGCAGCTGGCTTTCCCCAGAGCAAGCCATCGAACACAGCAAGGTAGAAGCTGTAATGTGGTTCGTGACCTAGCCTTGGCAGTCACGCTCTATCAGGCCCACAAGTTAGTTCTGTTTATTATGGGAAGAAAGTACTCCAGGGCAGGAAAACCAGGCAACAGAGATCACTGGGGACCTTCTAGGAAGCTGGCTACCACAGATGTGTAGACTCATTTATTTGACATTAGTTTGCTTTCCTGGTCCTTCTAACCATGCGTAGCAGGTGAGGTGGGGGTGGTGCTCAGTTGGTGGAGACAGCAGGGCCCATCCAGCCCTGTGCTACAAGGGTCACATTGAGGAAGCAACTCTTCAAACCACCATGGAAGTTATTCATCCTCTTGGCAATCAGCGTTGTGATTTCCAGGGTTAGAAAAGTACTGTGAAAAGCTTTCTAGAACTGCTCTGTAGTTAAACTCAGAGGATGACAACTTTCTTGGCCCACTGAATGGGTTTCACAATCCCTGCATTGGAGCGCCTTCTGTATCTTATTATTATCTATTGTTGTTAGATATTTTTACACATTTCCCAACACATGTTGGCTGCTCTCACTCCCACCCCCAGGCTCTTCCATCTTCTTACCACCCTTTTCCATCCTTCCCTCCCCACAAGGCTCTAGCTCATGTGCTTATCTGTGGATTTTGTTTTGTCATTGTGGTGGTTTAAATGGGAATGGCCCCCATAAAGTGTGTTTGAATGCTTGGCCCCTATTCGTTTGAACTGCTTTAGGACGGACTGGGAGGTGTGGCCTTGTTGTTGGAGGTGTGTCACTGGCTTTGAGATTTCAAAAGTCCATGCCAGGCTCAGCCTCTCACTCTTGGTTTCCAATTTGTGGATTAGATATAAGCTCTCCGCTACTGCTCCAGCACCATGCCTGCCTGCCTCTTGGCAATGCTCCCCATCATGATGGCCATGGGCTCACCCTCTGAAACTGTAAGCAAGTCCTCAATTAAATGCTTTCTTTAGTAGGCTGCCTTGGTATGGTGTCCCTTCACAGCTGTAGAAAAATAACTAAGGCTGTGACCTACTGGGTTTATTCAGTGCTATCTGTGTGAATCTGGGAACTGTTTGTTGGAGCCTGGTGTGATCAACAATGGATACACAACTAAAGACAGTGACTTCTCCTCCCCTAGAATCTGTCAATATCTAATAGTTCAGCAGTAAAGCAAAGGACGTTGTGAGCCCTTACTCCTGCCGTCCATGACTAATGGTTGATAGGGCTGGCCTCGCGTGGGCCCACAGTTGTTGTGAGCTGATGACTCTATCGCTTCGGAGGATGACATTTGCGGCCCTTCACCCCATACTTCAGCTCTTACAAGCTTCCCACACCCTCTTTTGCAGGGTTCCCTGGGCCTTAGCGGGGGTGGTGTAAATGTCTCGTCTTTGGCTGAACTCACAGCTGTCACTTATTCTCAGCATCTTGGACAGCCCCAGTCTCTCCATTCACCATCATTCTTTTTTAAACAGCGGCTACTCTGAGTGAGGCCGAAGGCAGCTTTTGTCTATGTGTACAAGCATAGCTGTCTGGAAGGCAATCCGACAGTGTGTCAATTTAGTTAAATCTCAATACTCAATCCCTACTTGAGACCCTTTTAACAACGCTTTTCAAACTCATTTGCTCACAAAAGTGGTTTTGTTTTTGTTTCTGTCAAACTAATAATACCTTTTTAAGCAAATGCTCTGGAAAATATGCATTTTGAAACATTGGTTTAAATTGTTGAATGCTCTCATCCTATATTATTCTCAAAAGGGTTTAACAGGGTTGTAATACTGAAAATAGCACGTTTTACCTACCTTGGATCATACATGTTTTGACCTGGAAAGGCAATCTTATAATTATAACACCTAACCCAGTACCTGACTGCTTGTTTGCTGGGGACCCTCCATCACCCACTACCTTCCCTGTGCCCTCAGAATACTCACTTCTATGTTTCTCTACCCTTATCTGAAATCTTTGTGGGAACTGGCCTCAAAGACTTTCAAAGTGCACTAACTTCCTTCCATGAGAAGGAGGAAAATTTCTCCACTCACATACAAACTTGGAGAAGCCTCGCTCTGCTGAGAGTAAGCATCTCTTAGCTGGTGTATTTTATGGCTGAAGTGTTTGTCTTGGTATGTTAGCCTCTGGGGCATAACCATTTCTTCTTATGAGCCTGGTGTAGCACTCGGCACACTGTTAGCACTCAACCTGAAATAAATCATCATAATCATAGTTATAAACATAAATCAAGGGAGCACAATTCCACTTATTTATGGCCTTACAGGAGATGCACAATGGAAAAGCACAGTTATTTTCCATTATATTATCCTATATCATTTCCAAGCAAAATGTCACGCTGTCCACTAGCCTGTAACCAGGTAATGAAGCATTTGGTATAACCCCCGCAATTCCATGGGGCCGGAGGCAAGAGGTGTGAGGCTAGGAGTTCACATTTCCTAAGTTTGTATAATTAAAACCTGAATTTCTAGGGCTTATTAAGATAATATTTAACATATAATTATCTTGACATTTTAAAAAGGAAAAGTGTTTAAGAAAAATTATGTGGTAATGTTTAATCACAAAAATCTGCTGGCTCTACTCACTTCTTCAAAGGTCCTCTCTCTCTGATTTCCAAGGTGAGTCTATAGCTTAATAAAGATTTTTAGCCTAATGTTTCATCTCATAGTGGATTAGTTAGTGGGCTGATCCTCCGAGTACAGAAAATGCTTTTATGCCTGGAGTACTTTTCCCTCTCTGAAGTCAGACATCCTTAAGGTTGGGCTTGTCTCTCCCTATAACCGAATAACAAGATATAATGGTCACTTTTGCTATTATTATTTTTTGACTTGCTTGCTGACTTTGGAAAACACACTTATATTCACAAACATGTATATATGAAAATAACTAAATATACACACGACTAAGCCCTCATAAAAACCTCTCTCTCTCTATGGTGCTGGGAATCGAACCTAGGCCCTTGTGCATGATAAACAAGGCCTCTGCCACTGAACTATGCTCCCAGTGCACTTGAACACTTGAGAAGGCATGCTTTTAGACAATTCTGCGGAACACACACTCTGTTTAAAACATTTAAGTACTTTTTTTTTTAATTTTAAAAATGGACTTGTAAAATTACATGTATGCACTTGTCTTGCAGAACATGACATTTTGAAGCATGTATGCTTTGTGGAGTGATTGTGTCTGTCCCCTCATATAGCTATCAAGTTTGTGGTGAGGACATTTACCATCTACTCTCATTCTTTAAGAATATAATACTGACATTAGCTATAGTCATCATCTTTACATTAAACATGAGAGCTCTGTATT